AAAAAAAAAAAAAAAAAAAAAAAAAAATGCACATTAGCAAAGCTTTTGGTTATCAAATTAACCAAATTTTAAGAGCTGCTAGTATTCAGTGATGATAATGAAACATAAAAAACCCGATTCACTGCAACTGGGAATATAAATTGGCATAACCTTTCTGACAAGTAATTTGACAAAATATATTAAGAACTTATAATGACAGGTAGACCTTTTGTCCCATTAACTCTACTTCTTGGAAGCTAGCCTAAAATTTAATCAGATATATGGACAAAGATTTATGTTTAAAGGTGTTTATTACAAAGTACTTGATTGATTGATTGCTGCACTGCATGGCTTGTGGGATCCCCGACCAGGGATCAAACCCAGGCCCTCAGCAGTGAAAGCACAAAGTCCTCACTACTGGACCACCAGGGGATTCCCTACAAGTACTTTATTATGCAGTTATTCTAGCTGGCAACAACATAAATGTTTAAATAACATAAAATACATTTCTAGCCATGATTCTAAATAGTGTAGTAGAATGGCTGTATCTGAATTTCTGGGAGGGGTGTGTTTAGTTTGTAAAAGCATATTATAAAATTGCCATTAAAAGAAGGTATAAGATTTGTATGTGTAAAAATTGTACCAATGTTTTCTTAGGTCAGTCTCCCAAGGCAATAGATAAAAACAATTTGTAAAAGCATATTATAAAATTGCCATTAAAAGAAGGTATAAGATTTGTATGTGTAAAAATTGTACCAATGTTTTCTTAGGTCAGTCTCCCAAGGCAATAGAAATAAAAACAAAAATAAACAAATGGGACCTAATCAAACTTACAAGCTTTTGCACAGCAAAGGAAACCATAAAACAAAAAGACAACCTATGGAATAGGAGAAAATATTTGCAAACAATGCAACCAACAGGGGCTTAATCTCCAAAATATACAAACAGCTCATACAGCTCTATATCAAAAAAACAAGCAACCCAATCAAAAAATTGGCAGGAGACCTAAACAGATATTTCTCTAAAGAAGACATACAGATGGCCAATAGGCACATGAAAAGATACTCAACATCACTAATTATTAGAGAAGCACAAATCAAAACTACAGTGAGGTACCACACCACCTCACACTGGTCAGAATGGCCATCATTAAAAAGTCTACAAATAACAAATGCTGGAGAGGGTGTGGAGGAGAGGGTGTGGAGAAAAGGGAACCCTCCTACACTGGTGGTAGGAATGTAAGTTGGTGCAGCCACTGTGGAAAAGAGTATGGAAGTTTCTCAGAAAACTAAAAATAGAATTACTGTATGATCCAGCAATCCCACTCTTGGACATATATTCAGACAAAACTATAATTCAAAAAGTTACATGCACCCCTGTGTTCACTGCAACACTATTCACAATAGCCAAGACATGGAAACAACCTAAATGTCCATCAACAGATGAATGGATAAAGAAAATTCGTGTATACAATGGAATACTACTCAGCCATAAAAAAGAATGAAGTAATGCCATTTGTAGCAACATGGATACAACTAGAGATTATTATACTAAGTGAAGTAAGTCAGAAAGAGGAAGACAAATACCATATGATATCACTTATATGTGGAATCTAAAATATGGCACAAATGAACCTAACTACGAAACAGAAAGACTCACAGACAGAGACAGCAGACTTGTGGTTGCCAAGGGGGAGGTGGGGAGGGGAAGGGATCGATTGGGAGTTTGGCGTTAGTAGATGCAAACTATTACATATAGAATGGATAAACAGCAAGGTCCTACTGTATAGCACAGGGAACTATATCCAATATCCTGGAATAAACCATAATGGAAAAGAATATAAAAAAGAATGTATGTATGTGTATAATTGAGGCACTTTGCTGTACAGCAGAAATTAACACAACACTGTAAATCAACTATACTTCAATTAAAAAAATAAGGAACTTAAGAGAAAGATTTGTATGTATATGGATAGGAGAATGGACTTTAAAAATGGGAATCAGTTGGGAATTGCCAATTGATATGATAGAGTATTATACATATTTAAAATTTTCAGTAATTTTAATGACATAGTAAAAGGCTCATGATAAGCAAAAAAGAGATGGAAACTTATGATTACAGAATGACCTGAACCATGAAAGAAAAATTCATTAAAAAAAAAGACTTGAAGATCAGATCAGAAATAAATGAAAAAGAAATGAAGGAAATGATGGCAAAGATCAATAAAACTAAAAGCTGGTTCTTTGAGAAGATAAACAAAATTGATAAACCATTAGCCAGATTCATCAAGAAAAAAAGGGAGAAGACTCAAATCAACAGAATCAGAAATGAAAAAGGAGAAGTAACAACTGACACTGCAGAAATACAAAGGATCATGAGGGATTACTACAAGCAACTCTATGCCAATAAAATGGACAATCTGGAAGAAATGGACAAATTCTTAGAAATGCACGACCTGCCAAGACTGAATCAGGAAGAAATAGAAAATATCAACAGACCAATCACAAGCACTGAAATTGAAACTGTGATTAAAAATCTTCCAACAAACAAAAGCCCAGGACCAGATGGCTTCACAGGCGAATTCTATCAAACATTTAGAGAAGAGCTAACACCTATCCTTCTCAAACTCTTCCAAAATATAGCAGAGGGAGGAACACTCCCAAATTCATTCTACGAGCCCACCATCACCCTGATACCAAAACCAGACAAAGATGTCACAAAGAAAGAAAACTACAGGCCAATATCACTGATGAACATAGATGCAAAAATCCTCAACAAAATACTAGCAAACAGAATCCAACAGCACATTAAAAGGATCATACACCATGATCAAGTGGGGTTTATTCCAGGAATGCAAGGATTCTTCAATATACGCAAATCTATCAATGTGATTAACCATATTAACAAATTGAAGGAGAAAAACCATATGTCTGCCTGCCAATGCAGGGGACACGGGTTCGAGCCCTGGTCTGGGAAGATCCCACATGCCGCAGAGCAACTAGGCCCGTGAGCCACAACTACTGAGCCTGCGCGTCTGGAGCCTGTGCTCCACAACAAGAGAGGCTGCAACAGTGAGAGGCCCGCGCACCGCAATGAAGAGTGGCCCCCACTTGCCACAACTGGAGAAAGCCCTCACACATAAACGAAGACCCAAAACAGCCATAAATTTAAAAAAAAAAAAAATAAACCTACCTAAGGAGACAAAAGACCTGTATGCAGAAAATTATAAGACACTGATGAAAGAAATTAAAGATGATACAAACAGATGGAGAGATATACCATGTTCTTGGATTGGAAGAATCAACATTGTGAAAATGACTCTACTACCCAAAGCAATCTATAGATTCAATGCAATCCCTATCAAACTACCACTGGCATTTTTCACAGAACTAGAACAAAAAATTTCACAATTTGTATGGAAACACAAAAGACCCCGAATAGCCAAAGCAATCTTGAGAACAAAAAATGGAGCTGGAGGAATCAGGCTGCCTGACTTCAGACTATACTACAAAGCTACAGTAATCAAGACAGTATGGTACTGGCACAAAAACAGAAAGATAGATCAATGGAATAGGATAGAAAGCCCAGAGATAAACCCATGCACATATGGTCACCTTATCTTTGATAAAGGAGGCAAGAATATACAGTGGAGAAAAGACAGTCTCTTCAGTAAGTGGTGCTGGGAAAACTGGACAGGTACGTGTAAAAGTATGAAATTAGAACACTCCCTAACACCATACACAAAAATAAACTCAAAATGGGTTAAAGACCTAAATGTAAGGCAAGACACTATCAAACTCTCAGAGGAAAACGTAGGCAGAACACTCTATGACATAAATCACAGCAAGATCCTTTTTGACCCACCTCCTAGAGAAATGGAAATAAAAAGAAAAATAAACAAATGGGACCTAATGAAACTTAAAAGCTTTTGCACAGCCAAGGAAACCATAAACAAGACCAAAAGACAACCCTCAGAATGGGAGAAAATATTTGCAAATGAAGAAACTGACAAAGGATTAATCTCCAAAATTTACAAGCAGCTCATGCAGCTCTATCAAAAAAACAAACAACCCAATCCAAAAATGGGCAGAAGACCTACATCGACATTTCTCCAAAGAAGGTATACAGCTTGCCAACAAACACATGAAAGAATGCTCAACATCATTAATCATTAGAGAAATGCAAATCGAAACTACAAGGCGATATCATCTCACACTGGTCAGAATGGCCATCATCAAAAAATCTACAAACAATAAATGCTGGAGAGGGTGTGGAGAAAAGGGAACCCTCTTGCACTGTTGGTGGGAATGTAAATTGATACAGCCACTATGGAGAACAGTATGGAGGTTCTTTAAAAACTAGAAATAGAACCACCATACGACCCAGCAATCCCACTACTGGGCATATACCCTGAGAAAACCATAATTCAAAGAGTCATATACCAAAATGTCCACTGCAGCTCTATTTACAATAGCCAGGACATGGAACCAACCTAAGTGTCCATCGACAGATGAATGGATAAAGAAGATGTGGCACATATATACAATGGAATATTACTCAGCCATAAAAAGAAGCGAAATTGAGTTATTTGTAGTGAGGTAGATGGACCTAGAGTCTGTCATACAGAGTGAAGTAAGAAAGAGAAGAACAAATACCGTATGCTAACACATATATATGGAATCTAAAAAAAAATAAATGGTTCTGAAGAACCTAGGGTCAGGACAGGAATAAAGACGCAGACGTAGATAATGGACTTGAGGACACAGGGAGGGGAAGGGGAAAGCTGGGATGAAGTGAGAGAGTGGCATGGACTTACATATACTACCAAATGTAAAATAGATAGCTAGTGGGAAGCAGCCGCATAGCACGGGGAGATCAGCTCGGTGGTTTGTGACCACCTAGAGGGGTGGGGTAGGGAAGGTGGGAGGGAGACGCAACAGGGAAGAGATATGGGAACATATATATATGTATAACTGATTCACTTTGTTATAAGGCAGAAACTAACACACCAATGTATAGCAATTGTACTCCAATAAAGATGTAAAAAAAAAAAAAAGACGAAGTTACTATGCCAAAATGTTAACAGTGTTTGCCTCAGGGTGGTGGAATATTTTGTTACATCTTTACACTTTTCTGTATTTTAAGAATTCTCTGGGGCTTCCCTGGTGGCGCAGTGGTAGAGAGTCCGCCTGCCGATGCAGGGGACACGGCTTTGTGCCCCAGTCTGGGAAGATCCCACATGGCGCAGAGCGCCTGGGCCCGTGAGCCATGGCCGCTGAGCCTGCGCATCCGGAGCCTGTGCTCCGCAACGGGAGAGGCCACAACAGTGAGAGGCCCGCGTACCGCAAAAAAAAAAAGAAAGAAAAAAAAAAAAAAATTCTCTGAGATGAGCCCGTTTTATTTTTTGTAAAATCAGGAAGAAATACATTTTAAAAATATACATTTAAAAAGATTTAAAATATAATTAGAGATATATTATCTATCCTGCTAAAGAGAATTTCATTTAAATTTCAGGGCTTTAGGATCAGATACAGGAGGATCAACCAGAAATCCAGCTGCCCACTGTGGGGTTGTTGGTTTGAAACCTAGCTACGGCTTAGTTTCTCGTCATGGCCTCATTCCCCTGGTGAATTCAATGGATGTGCCAGGAATCTTAACCAGATGTGTGGATGATGCAGCCATTGTGTTGGGTATTTAAACGATTCCATATAGTTTCAAAACATTGTTATTTCACTTCAGTACTGTGTCTGTCACTCATAAATATTCCTACTTACAGGTATACTAGCTGGGCATGATCCCAAAGATTCTACCACAATCCAAGATCCTGTTAAACCATTTACGGTTCCCAGTTTGACAGATATGAGCAAACTATGTATAGGAATTCCGAAGGTAAGTCCCTCTTTACAAAAGTACTGTCAAGTCAAATACAGAGCACAGACTTGGGAAACAGACTGGTTGGGTTTGAAGCCCTGCTCTACCACTTTTATTAGCTCTGTGACCTGAGCACATGAAAATAGATATGTTAAATTACTAACCTTTTAAAATTTTAACTTTGAGTTTAGCAATAATTTTTAGTTCTGGGAGACTGTGCTGTGCATTGTCAGATGTTGAGCAGCATCGCTGGCCTCTAACCCTAGAGGTAGCATCCCCACCACCACCACTGCCCCACTAGCAAAACTGTCTGCAGATGTTACCAGATATCCCCTGGTTGAGAGGAAGAGGAGAGGATACTGCCCCCAGTTGAGACCACTGCTCTAGAGAAATACTGTAAAATCTTTAAATCTTTAAAATCTTCAATTAAGGTAATAGGTGTGCCTACTTTTAAGGATTTACAGAGAAACAGACTTAGTTGAGAATCCTGGATTCCTACTTACCTGCTATGTAACATTAGGAAAGTTAGTTAACTTCTCTAGTCTCAATATTTTTCATTAATAAAAAGGATGATAATACCTACATCGTAAGACTATTAAAAGCGTTAAATGAGAGAACCTTTGGAAAGTATCTAGCAGAGTGCCTGATATATAATGAACATTTAACAAATATGAGTTCTCCAACCAGATCTCCAATCTTTAATATTATTATATCGAGCTCACAGTATCTAGTACTGTGCTTGTCATGCCATAAGCACTCTTAAATTAGTTCAGTCTTTCTAGCTACCTGCTAGCAATTTAATCAGATGTTCTAATGTATTGCCAAAGTTTCTGGAGTACAAATTTTTATAACACCATCTATACAGATATTCTCATTTCTGTATTTTGACTTTTTCCGATAAGGAATATCTTACACCAGAATTGTCGAGTGAAGTACAGTCTCTTTGGTCCAAAGCTGCTAATCTCTTTGAGTCTGAGGGGGCCAAAGTAATTGAAGTGTCCCTGCCCCACACCAGTTACTCAATTGTCTGCTACCACGTATTGTGTACATCGGAAGTGGCGTCGAATATGGCAAGATTTGATGGGCTAGAATATGGTAAGTTGCCTGTGTTTTGGATTTTTAAGGAAGTTGTCTCAGACATTTGAAAGGTTCGTTTGTTAGTAGCAAAATATATTATTGCCAAGGGATAATGTTAAGATTTAGAGAAGTAAATCAGTGAATCCTTTTACCTTTGTCATTTTAGCATTATAGTCACACTATTCATCATAATATCTCTGTATCTTCAGCTCACCCTCTGGACTCTGCGGTATCTTTAAGGTAGAGTATTTTAGCTTTGTATTATCAGTCCATACAGTGTGGTACCTGGCACAGGGTAGGAGCTCAGTAAACATCTGAATAAAATGAATGAATGAATGAATGAGGGAGTGAACAACTGAAGTTCCCCTCTTCATTATCGTTTTCTCTCTCCTTGCTTCCTGACCAGTAAGTCCAAAGGCAGATAAAAAAGAGAAACCAATTAAGTTCAATCTCATGAAATTTTAGTACTGGTCACAAATGTGAATCTAGACCTACTTTTCAGCCAAAACTTTACTTCCTTTTCAATTGTGGGTTTTTGTTTGTTTGTTTTTGTTTTTTGTTATCAGGTCACAGATGTGACATCGATGTGTCTACTGAAGCCATGTATGCTGCAACCAGACGAGAAGGCTTCAATGATGTGGTGAGAGGAAGAATCCTCTCAGGAAACTTTTTCTTATTAAAAGAGTAAGATAATCAGCTTAGGAATTTTCCCCATTCTTGAAAACTCCATAGTAAAGTAGTAGCATGTCTATCAAGTCTTATAAGTTGAGATATTTGCTAAGGAAGCAAAATCCTTATGATTTAAATTAGAAATCATAATTAAAGGCCCATTTATGGTACTTTTGGCTCCTGGTTATTCAGAAACAAACCAAATCATTGATGCTCTAGCTGAATGATTAGTACAAGCTAAGTAGGAAGCCCTGAAGGATTTTAGCCTCATTAAATGTCCCTTATTATTGCCACATTGTCTTACTGTTCTGAGAGCCTTAAGCAGGAAGTTACACTGGTGTCTCTTAAAAAACTTAGTGAATCAACTTAGTTTTCCCTTGCATCATGTATCTGTTTGCTCCAAAAAAGAATTTTAAATTACTATGACTTTGGTATAAGTTTGTTCACCATCTTGTGAATAGGATTAATCTTCCATACTACCAGGTCTGTCTAAGAGGAAGTGTGAAACAGCAAGAGTGGTTGTACCAATAGCTTCCTGGGGTTTTGCTCCATGTCCCATAGATAGATAGATAGATCGATAGACAGATAGATAGATAGATACATACATACATACATACATATATACATGGCAAGCATTTTATTCATCTGTGCATCTCCTCAGGGCCAATAGTTAGGATTACTTTTTCCAAAGATACTACTTGAACAGCTACTATGAAAAACAGTATGGAGGTTCCCCCCAAAATTAAAAATAGAATTACCATGTGATCCAGAAATCCCACTTCTGGGTATATATCTGAAGGAAAGAAATCACTGCCTCAAAGCATTATTCATAGTAGCCAAGACATGGAAACAACCTAAGTGTCCGTCAACAGGTGAATGGACAAAGAAAATATGGGCTGTGTGTGTGTGTGTGTGTGTGTGTGTGTGTGTGTGTGTGTGTATGTAATAATGAATATTCCATTGTATGTATGTGTGTGTGCATGTGTGTGTGTGTGTATATATATATATATATACACACACACACACAAAGCAATTTAATAGTCAATTATATCAATAAAGCTGGAAAACAAAAACTAAAATTATTATTTGATTAAAGAGGAAATCAAAGGGCTTTGTTTATTTGCTTCTCTTCTAATGTTGTCTAATGTCTGAATATGGTTGTTTCATTTTGTCTAGTTTTCGGTTGTTTAAAATGGCAGAGTAAATCCATCCCTAATATTCCCATCACTGATGGAAGCAGAAGTTGGGCTTTTGAACCGTATTTAAAGTAGGAAGAAGTTTAATAGAAGTATTTGTTCTTTTATAAAAAGATACTGTTAGTACATTATTTAAGCCATCAGCTGTTGGGTAAATTATACGTGATGCCTGCATTCATCTCCCTATAGATCCTGTGGTCAAATGATAATAAGGACATCTGATATTTCTATAGCATTCTTTCAGGATAAAAAAGATTTCACATTTTTATCTCATTGTATTTGGTCCTCAGAAAGATTGGAGTTGTTATATCCGTTTTTCAGGTGAGGAAACTGAAGTTAGAATGGTTAATACTTTTGCCACCTTCATTAACAGCTTCAGGAGGATCTAAGGAGTATTTTCTTTTTCCCTTTCTTTGCATCGTTGACTTACAGTCACACCTATGTCTGGCTAATTCCTTAATCTTTTCAGTAAAGTATGCATTTTTTCTTTTGGGGGCGGGTGAGGAGTAACCATATCCTTTATTATTATTTTTTATTACCACAATTAGTTTAGTGAACATCTATCATCTCATATAGGCACACCATTAAAGAAATAGGAAGAAAAAATTTTTTTCTTACGATGAGAACTCTTAGGATTTACTCTCTTATCAACGTTCGTGTATAACATACAACAGTGTTAATTATATTTATCATGTTGTGCATTACATCCCTAGTACTTATTTATTTTATAACTGGAAGTTTGTACCTTTTGACCACCTTCATCCAATTCCCCCTCCCTCCACACCCCGCCTCTGGTAACAACAAATCTGATCTCATTTTCTCTGAGTTTGTTTTTGAAGTACAATTGACCTACAACACTGTGTTAGTTCCTGGTGCACAATATGGTGATTTGATATTTCTCTGCATCTCGAAATGATCACCATGATACATCTAGTTGTCATCTGTCACCATACAAAGATACTACATAATTACTGACTGTAGTCCCCAAACTGTACGTTTCATACCTGAAAGTTTATAACTCTTAATCTTCTTCCCCTATTTCTCTCCTTGCCCCTCACCCCCCCTTCTCTGCCAACCACCTGTTTGTTTATCTGTGACTCTGTTTCTGTTAGTTATGTTTGTTCATTTGTTTTATGGATTCCACAGATAAGTGAAATCATACAGTATCTTTCTCTGAATTATTTCACTTAGCATAATACCCTCTAGGTCTATCCATGTTGTTGCAGATGGCAAGATTTCATTCTTTTTTATGGCTAATTTTCCATTTTTTATATGTATTGATACTACATCTTTATCCATTCATCTACTGATGGACACTTTAGGTGGTTTCCAAATCTTAACTATTATAAATAATGCTGCAGTGAACATAAGGGTGCATATATCTTTTCAAATTAGTGTTTCTGTTTTCTTTGGATAAATACCCAGGAGTGGAATCGCTGCATTGTGTGGTAATTGTTTTTAATTTTTTGAGGAATCGCCATACCGTTTTCCATAGTGGCTGCACCACTTTGCATTCCCACCAACAGTGCACGAAGGTTCCCTTTTTTCTACATCCTTGCCAGTATTTGTTATTTGTTGTCTTTTTTTTTTTTTTTTTTTGCGGTATGCGGGCCTCTCACTGTTGTGGCCTCTCCTGTTGCGGAGCACAGGCTCCGGATGCGCAGGCTCAACGGCCATGGCTCATCGGCCCAGCCGCTCCACGGCATGTGGGAATCTTCCCAGACCGGGGCACGAACCCGTGTCGTCTACATCAGCAGGCAGACTCTCAACCACTGCGCCAGCAGGGAAGCCCTGTTGTCTTTGATAATAGCCATTCTGAAAGGTGTGAGGTGATATTTCATTGTAGTTTTGAATTGCATTTCTCTGATGACTTGTGAGGTTGAGCATCTTTTCATGTGCCTGTTGGCACATCTGTATGTCTTCTTTGGAAAAATGTTCTGGGCCTCTGCCCATTTTTTAATTGGTTGTTTATTTTTTTGATGTTGAATTGTATGAGTTCTTTGCATGTTTTGGATATTAACTCCTTATCAGATATAGCATTTGCAAATATCTTCTCCCATTCAGCAGGCAGGCCTGAAGCATCTTTTCATAAATTTCACATTTCCATTCCTGGGCTATACTTGTCTGTAAAGTACAAAATTGCAAACACTGCATACTTTCCCCGGTTACTGTTTCCAGAGCCTGCTTTCTAGTGTCTAATTCTGATGGCATGTTAGAATTTTCCAAAACTTAAGAGTCCTTATAATAATTATAACTATAGATGAAATAGGACATTATAATAATAGAAAGGATTGGAATGAGCCTCCAGAGACCTAAGTTCTAGTCCTTCCTCTACCCCTGTCAATCTTTGCAGCCTTTAGAAAGTCATTTAGTTGCTATGCACTTGATTTTCCTCACCTGAAAAGGAATGTTCTGGTTTAGTGATGTCCCTGGAAGTGTTAATATTTTGTGATTATATCTACAGAATTGCATCTACTGGTGATTTTTAATTAATTCCAGATATACAAACTTTTAGAGTAACAGTGTGGTTGAACAAAATTCATTTTTATGTGTTGTTAGGAATCTTACTGGTGCCTGCTCCAACAGGCCAAGAATCCAGTGATTCTTTAACAAGCCTTATGCATAAGAATTGATTCAAAAAAATAACAAAAAGCCCTTAAAGTGTCATCTGTTTTTTTTAACAAGCCTTATGCATGAGAATTGATTCAAAGAAATAACAAAAAGCCCTTAAAGTATCATCTACTTTTTTCCACAGAAACTATGAGAATTATTTTGTCAAAGCACAGAAGGTGAGACGACTCATTGCTCGTGATTTTGTGAATGTTTTTAACTCTGGAGTGGATGTCTTGCTAACTCCTACCACCTTGAGTGAGGCAGTGCCACACACAGAGTTCATCAGAGAAGACAACAGAACACGAAGTGCCCAGGATGATCTTTTTACACAGGCTGTAAATATGGCAGGTGAGGATCCCTCAAGAACACTCTGGTTTTCTTCAGTTTTTAGGTAGACACCCTGATCTTCGACTTAGGTTCTAGCTAGATTGTTCCCTAAACAAAATAGCTTGTCCTTCTGGAGTGCTTAGGAATGTGTGTTTGTGTGTGCATGCGTATATTTATAGGCTTTCACTTATCACACACACATACATTAAGTTTCAAGCCTACAGAAAAGTTGAAGAAGTCGTATAATGAATACCCATATGTCCTTTGCTTGGATTCATCCTTGTTAACATTTTGCCTCACTTGCTTTCTCCTTCCTCTCTCTCTCTCTCGCTTTCACACACACGCACGCACACACACTCTTAGCTTTTATTTGAATAATTTGAAAGTTTCAACATCATGTTACTTCACCCCTAAATACTTCAGCATGAATCGTCTAAGAATAAAGACATTCTCCTGCGTAACCACAATTCCATCATCACACCTAAGAAAACTAACACAAATACAATAATATTCCAAATACAGTTCATATTTAACTTTCCTCAGTTGTACCAAAAGTGCCTTTTATAGGGTGTTTTCCCCAATATATTATATTTGTTTATGATATCTCTTAAAGTCTAGAACAGTTCCCCAGTTCTCTATGTTCTATAACAGTCTGAACCACATCAGACTTATAAGTTTTGTTTTAATCATCAAACATAATGTAGGAAACTCAAGGGCAGAGGGAAAAGTCTGTTGTATTTATTTATCTATACTTTTATTTACTGTGTTCATTTCTCCCTGATGTATCAGATCCTTTGTTTTACCATATCCTTTCTGTTTGGAGAACAGTTAGCCATTCTTTTAGGGTAGGTCTGCTGGCACCCAGTTCTCTTAGCTTTCTTCTGAGAATGTCCTGATTTTCCTTTCATTTTTAAAGGTTATTTTTGCTGGATATATGATTCTGATTTGACAGTTCTTTAGCACTTAAAAAATGCCCTGCTACTTTCTTCTGGCCTGCATAGTTACTGATAAGAAATACCCAGCCTTTTAAAATTTTTGTTTTAAGTGACATTGACTCTTTTGAGGAGTCTAGTCCACTTGACCTGTAGGATATCCCGTCTGTAATCTGAATTTGTCAGATTGCTTCCTCATGATTGGGTTGAGTTAAACATTTTTGGTACAAATACTACATATGCTTCATGTCAAACAGTTAAATATCAGTTTGTCCCACTTTTGGAAGCTAAGTTAACCCCTTGGTTAAGGAAGTAACTACCAGATATTTTCCTTACAAAGGCACATTTTCCTTTTGTCAGTTGTAAGCAATTGGTGATATGATACTTTGAGACAGTGTTTCCCAATAAACTTGAACCCACTTTTAGCATCCATTGATGATCCTTGCCTGAATTAAGTATTACTTAGAGAATTACAAAATGCTGATTTTTCTAATTCTACCACTCCTTCTACATATGTTAGCTAGCAGCCTTCTCTAAAGAACAGCTTTCCTGGGACTTGCCTGGTGGCGCAGTGGTTAAGAATCCGCCTGCCAGTGCAGGGGACATGGGTTCGAGCCCTGGTCTGGGAAGATCCCACATACCACAGAGCAACTAAGCCCGTGCATCAAAATAACCGAGCCTGCGCTCTAGAGCCCGCAAGCCACAATTACTGAGCCCACGTGCCACAACTACTGAGCCCCCATGCCACAGCTACTAAGCCCATGTGCCACAACTACTGAAGTCCATACGGCTAGAGCCCGTGCTCTGCAACAAGAGAAGCCACCGCAATGAGAAGCCTGTGTACCACAGCAAAGAGTAATCCCTGCTCGCCGCGACTAGAGAAAGCCCTCAAGCAGCAACAAAGACCCAACACAGCCAAAAAATACATAAATCAATTTAAAAAAAGAAAACATAATTTTTAAAAAAGCTTTCCTTTTTTAAAAGAATGCAATGTATTATAAGTAATTAACTGTCATTATTTTTGATGCTCAAATTTAACCAACAGTTGTGTATCCTTTAGGCCAGCCCCCATTAATTTTTGAAAACTTTCTTATTTTATGGCATAACAAGATGTCCCAGGCTGTCCTACTTTCTCTTCCCCAAAACTAAAAACTACCCTGAACTACTATTTTTCATCTAACAAATTGGCAAAAATTCAAAAACTGAACAACACACTCTATAGGTGAGGCTGTAGGAAAACACTCATTTTGCTGATAGGAGTTGAAAAGGTACAACTTTTTTGGAGGGAAAGTTGGCAAAATATCTAATTACATATGCATTTATCTTTTGATGAAACAGTTCCTCTTCAGCTGAGAAACATTCAGGAATACCAGAAAAATACACAAGGTAATTCACTGGGACTTGGCATGAAATAGCGAAATACCGAAAACAACCAAAATCTCCAACCACAGAAGAATGGTTGAATCAATTATGGTAAAAGCACATGATGGAATACTATGCAGCTATAAAAAAGGAATGAAGAAGGTCTCTGTGAACAGATATACAGTGATTTCTAAGATATTAAATGAACAAAGGAAGATACAGAAGCATACATATAATTTTTGTGATTCTTTTTCATTAACCTTGTCTTGTACCTACTGGCACTGGAAAGTGGAAGAGGTCTCTGCATCTTAGGGTGGAGAATTAATCAACCTTTAATGGGTCTCTCTCTTTTCCTCAGGGTTGCCAGCAGTGAGTGTCCCTATGGCCCTCTCAAGCCAAGGGTTGCCAATCGGACTACAGTTTATTGGACGTGCATTTTGTGACCAGCAGCTTCTTACAGTTGCCAAATGGTTTGAAAAACAAGTACAGTTTCCTGTTATTCAGCTTCAGGAGCTAATGGATGATTGTTCATCAGTCTTTGAAAATGAAAAGTTAGCTTCTGTTTTTCTAAAATAGTAGTGATAACTATATCATGCAAATTATGACTTTTAAAGATTTTATATTCTAGAAAAGTCAAGTGATCTTGCAGTTTGGTTCACTGTCAACACAGTCATTCCTTGGAATCGCTTTTTAAAATTCTTGTGGTATAGTTAATTACTTATGAATAACCTGTCAGCATTTATTAAGCATCCACTAAACAAAGTACAGGATTTCTATTATAATAAGATACATGTTCCTGAAAAATGATGCATTCTGTAAAAATGTTCATTAAAAAGAACACTGCTTACAGTACTAGTACTGTACTGTAAGCCATGTAAGTACTAGTAAACCTCTCAAAACTTGTACATCTTTGTAACCAAAGCACTAACAAAAACAGTAAGTGGTACCTCCAGAGATAACCTGGACAGGCCAGCTGACAGGCAGCTCAGCATGCGGTGGAGGCCGCCTCAGCGGTTGTTAAAAATGCACAAAAACAATAAAATGGGAATATCCACTTCTAAGTCTGAGCAGAACAGGTAGAGGAGGAGCTCTGAGCACAGGAGGACGTGCAACCTGCTGGGGCCCAGAGTCCTGCAAGACAGGGGTGTGCCTCTCTCTCTAGGGAGAGTCCCAGGTGCAGACACTTCTCTAAGAATAGAGCTGCAATGACTGAGAACTTTTTTCCTTTCCTGCTAACAGTTAAAATCTTACTTCTGCCATTCCAGAGCCCCATGCCAAGGAACCAGAGTAACTCCATGTTACACTGAGTTCATTCTAGTTCGATCACAAACAAGCTCAGTGATGCCATAGAGACATTTGTTGTGACCTAACAGACCAGACTGGACTCAAAACTTGGTAGCTAGTGGAGCATGGTTTCAGTGAGAAAGTTTCAAGATACACAAGTAAGATCTCATATGAAAAACTTGTATATAATTTGGTGAGGATGCCAGAGAAGAAGCCCATGGACCTCCTCCCTTACCCCCAGATTCTCTATTCCTTATGGTTTTCTTACCCTCTTGACTTTCTTTACAAGTGCTCTCTCTTTGGGCTCCTTGAGCACAAAGAAACATTAACGGGAATATGTATTCAGAATCTGAAAAAAACAATCTGATGAAAATCATACGTTTACCCTCTATAAAGTTTCATCGTTGGATTTGTCTTTGCCAGAACACCATCGTCATCTCATATTTATGTGTTCTAATTTGACACTTGTTTATTTGTTGATAAATATAAGTGGGGAGCTGAATTATTATTTAACAGATTCACTTTGTTTAGTAAGAAAAAAGTCCTTTCTAAATATGAAAGACATGAAGGAAAAACATAGGCAGAACCTTCCCAGAACCACTAGGATGTTGAGTGGTGGTAGTTTAACCTGCCTGGTACTTTTCATTAATAATTTTCTCTCCCCCTGGGATCTTCCCACTCCCAAATACTCTATCTGATAAACTTTACATAAAAGTTTTCTGTGCCAGGCCCATAGGCCCACTAGGATTCTTAAATATTTTGACGTGAGTCCCTGAAAAAGGAAGAAATTCATGACAGAGAACTGCTTTACTTTATAAAATGAGAAAACTCTTACTTGGGGGAGCTAGTATGATGCAAATGGCAAGCAGATGAATCTTTGCCCCAGTCTTTTTTTTAATGTGTGTATAATTCAAAATAAAAATTTTTCAAAGAATATTTATGTAATTTCTCTTATTCCTATATCTCTGCTTGAGTTGCACTAACGATTTGAAGTGGAAATAATGAAGTGAAACATTTACTGTTCTCACGTAATAACACCCAACTAGCGTGAAATGATACCTAACCTGTTCTTTCTTTTCCATCTTTATCCTAAATCTAGTAGATCTCATTTTGCCAAATCACTGTCTGGGAATTTAAGGGGGAAATGGTTTCTGTGTCTCAGCTAATTAAACCCTGAAATTGTTAGCAACAGAGCTGCCACAGCAGAGCACGTCAGAAAGGTGAAGGTGGCTGCAAGTGTAAGATGAGTGCCTTGATAAGACAGCAAAACAAAGCATTGCTAGAGTGAAAAAATGTGATGCGTTCACAAATCTTTGCACCCTGACACCACACAGAGCCAAATCCAAGCCAGATCCGTGTTGACCAACACTTAGCCGTTACCAAGAAAATCGCTTGAAACCAGGGAGGCAGAATGTTCTATTTGAATGGCTATTTGACACCAGGTTGTTGGGAACACAGGACTGTGGGCCATCTAGAAAAGGCAGCATGGTAGAGAAGGGGAGCTTCTAAAAATGACAAAGAATGGTGATTCCTATGAGGAAATCATCTGCACCTTCTACAGTGGACAAGAAATATCTTTAGGATTTTAGAACAGGATCTAAAGAACAGTGAAAAGAGATCTGGTTACAGGGCACCAAAAAGTAGACCTCGGGGATTCTGTAAACTGTCATACCCTGTTCCAGTTTAAGTAAGGGAGCAAACTAATGGGATTTTCACAATAGTTTCTATTATGAACTTTCATTTATTAACTACTTTTACTCTCCCTCCCTTTCCTCAAATATCTGATTATGCTGAGGCTAAATATGTGTTGCCTGTGCGAGCCTAGGGTAAAATTTACTCATTGCGTTTAGAAGCACCAGAGGACAGTTTAAAGTAGAAGGCTTTCCTCAGTTATTTCATAACTTAAGCAGTGCGTACACTAGAACAAAACCCTCAAAATTTAATGAAAGCAAATAACACGAGAAAACCCCAGCCAACATTAAATAAAAGTAATTATGGGATATCAGAGGGGCTTTCATTTCTTTTTCTTTGTACCTCAATGGAATATAAATCCAAAAGGATTTTAGGCACTTTATTAAAAATATATTATTACAATGGTATAAAAGTAAATAGTTGAGGAAATCACTGAATTGATAAAAATAGGGGAAAAGGTTAAAACCAAGAATAAGATTAAAAGTTAGCAATGCTTGTCAGGGTATTTATACAGATGCTAAGGCTGTGTAGTGTGATATGGTGGGAAATTTCCCGATTGCTTTCCTAGTGGGTAAGGCCACCAGATTTAAAAATCAGATATACCTGAGTTTGAATCCTATTACTGCCATTTACAAGCTGTGTAACCTGTCTGAGCTTCAGTACCCTGACCTGTAAAACAGAGGTAATATTTACTCCAAGGGAGGGTTGGGAGGATTAAATTTAAATGATGCACTTAAAGCACCCAGCATAACAACACAGAGTAAGTATTCAAATGTTTGGAGCTATAAATATACGCATACAATCATGAAATTATTTTCCCATGGATGCTATAGATACACATTAAACTAATATGGCCAAATTGCAATTTACTGAAAACTTATGCTAGAGACCAGCTATATAGCTCTCTGATGATCTGGCTTCCTCTGCAGATAGTTTAAAATATCTGGAAGAACTTATGGACTGTGCGTTTTTAAAGCAATTTCCGTGAGCCTATAATAAAGAATTGGCTAACACAGGGTTCAAAGACCTGGAGGTCTTTTTTTGTTTTTTTAACATCTTTATTGGAGTATAATTGCTTTACAATGGTGTGTTAGTTTCTGCTTTATAACAAAGTGAATCACTTATACATATACATATGTTCCCATATCTCTTCCCTCTTGCGTCTCCCTCCCTCCCACCCTCCCTATCCCACCCCTCTAGGTGGTCACAAAGCACCGAGCTGATCTCCCTGTGCTATGCGGCTGCTTCCCACTAGCTATCTACCTTACGTTTGGTAGTGTATATATGTCCATGCCACTCTCTCACTTCGTCCCAGCTTACCCTTCCGCCTCCCCGTGTCCTCAAGTCCATTCTCTGCGTCTTTATTCCTGGCCCCCCCCTAGGTTCTTCAGAACCTTTTTTTTTTTTTTAGCTTCCATACATATGTGTTAGCATACGGTATTTGCTTTTCTCTTTCTGACTTAATTTCACTCTGTGTGACAGACTCTAGGTCCATCCACCTCACTACAAATAACTCAATTTCGTTTCTTTTTATAGCTGAGTAATATTCCATTGTATATATGTGCCACAACTTCTTTATCCATTCATCTGCCTGGAGGTCTTTTAAAAGGCTCCTGTGCTCTGCCAACCAAGTGAAAGCAGGACTAACATGTTAAGAATGAAGCCTCCCAAAATGTGGCTATCCCATATCCTGTGGGGAAAATGATTTCAACAGAGCCAAGTTCTTCCTCATAAAACTTTGTTCCATTCCAACACATAGATACATAGATCGTTGGGGGCCCGAAATACTACCTCTTAGCTAGTTATTTTAACATGGGAAAAATTTAGGGTTGATGTTCCCTACAGCCAGCTAGTGTAGCCATAAAGGGGGAAAAGTTAATAAAGTACCCCTAGAGCATCTGTTAGTTAAACAATTTCACTCCCTGGTGAATCTTCCAAGAGAAATTAGTTGTAAAATGGACCTGCAGAATAATATGATAGAATTGGCATCACGTATCTGCCAAGGTGAAAATTGACAACTTTAGCATAGTTCATATAGCAGGACCAGTTTTCTTCAGAGGCCAATCATAGTATAGAATTCTTATCTTTCTGTTCTCTGTGACAAGAGTGTATGCATCTACATCACTAACATACAAACTAAAAGGATGCAAGGCTGGAATTCAGAGTTTTAAGGCTTATAATAACCAAATAAATTCTAATACAGTATACTATTTGAACAATTCTACCACAAGCATGTAAAAAGACACGGAGCAAGTTATATATGAATTATTTTCTTAGCTCTCCCACTTTAGTCCTCCATGGAAATGGCCACTAGAATGCAAGTAACTGGTACAGAATTAAGGTAGTGTTAATGGGAAAGAGAGAGAGATTATAAAGTGAAAATCAGAAGAATTTAGAGCTCAGTTGGATTCGAGGGTATGGGAGAAAGGAGGGAAAGAAACATGATTTTTATACTGAGAAGGGCTCTCAACTAGAATAATGATGTTAACCTTAATAAAAACAAG